TCTTATTATTCATACTAATACCGAAATTGGTGGTGATGAAAATCAAATTCAGAATACTAAAAAGTACAAGCATCATTCCATTACAATAATATGTTTCGGAATATTTGACTGCCATTTGTTTTGATCCACATAGAAATTAATACTTTCTTCAATCTGAGATTTTATTCAGCTCATGCAATTGTCTTCTTGATTTCAATCCAGGGCAATCTTTATTTTAACGTTAGATTAATTAGATGCATTGAAACATCATTTGAAAAACATGGCAGTACTTTCAATTAAGAGTTACTACATTCATGATTGCAGTGGACCCATCATTTAATCTTACGGGAAGGCGATCACATCATTTAATGCAAATATCAGTGCTTTCAACTGATTACTAGATATTGTCGTTAGCGTGACTGTAAGTAAATAAAGGAAATAGAGTATGTATACAGTGCACCTTGTGTGTTATTTATTATGAAATTCCTTTCTTTTCTTTTTGAAATTTTTCTCGTGCAGGAATTGTCTACCCACTTGCATCGCGACCTGAAGTGCCTTATCCAGGCAAAACAGCCCTTGGCTGCGCGTGCACAGCCCGTGGGGGGAAAAGCCGCCGCTCGGCCGGCGTACGAAGAGCGGTCGACGGACGCGAACGGGATGGGACTCGATGCGCCGCGTCCGCGGCTAGATCCCCGTGTAGTGCACACGCCGCTACCGGCGCTCTTGCTTCAGCCAGAGCCACCGAGCCCCTCGCGTTCCCCCGCTTCGGCCTCGGCCCACTGCCCGACCGCATGCCCTGGCCCTTCGCACCCGCGCGCCCACTGGTCCCATCCGGCCTCACACTTCGGCGCGAGGACTGTTGACTCACTGCGAAACCATCTAATAATGCGGCCGGTCGAGTATATAAACACGGCGGGGCGATGTTTCCTTCGTGTCTGGGCAATCCAGTGTTCCATCAGATGAACAGCATTGCCTACCCCCTCTTTAATGTACAGTTGTGTGTAAATGATGAAAGAGCAGAACCTATGGCCTGAGACTCGTCATTAATAGTAAACACATTATTATTATTATTATTATTATTATTATTATTATTATTATTATTATTATTATTATTATTGAATCTAATTTTTTCACTTCTATTGAGCGAAACTTACATCTCTAATAACATTCAAATGAACAGTATTTTACAAGCATAAGTGCAATAGTGCAGCGAAAATGAATCAATTCTTAGTTTCATTTTCCTCAATTACCACACAACAACGTGTAATGCCTGCTACTGTAACTTAGTACGACTTTCACTCCATTATCAGAATCCTTGGAAGCCTAGATCTTCTTCCTGCTTCCTCCGAGTTAGTTACACACTTTCTGCTGTTTTTGTCTGGTTAATTGTGGGATCTCTGGTTTATGGAAACGACGAGAGGTTATTCGCCCACGCCAACGCTGATGGAACGAATCCAGCGAAAACGAAAGACGCCTCGCACTGCAAAAACGATTAAAGTGGACATTTCTCGGAGAACAATACAAGCTTCAAATTCAGCGAAGGTTGTTAAAACCTCTCAAATTTGGCTCGATGAGTAAAGTATTCCGGAATTTATTTTGAAAATTTACTTTTTTTTTATCATTTTCCGGTGCCAGTCTAGTTTTAATAATGGACATTCAGAGCTTTTAGTCTTTTACCTACACTAATTTGAGGAAAACACAACGAAAGTGCATTACACTTAATCTTGGAGGGAGCATTGATTAACACAGATATATTTGCAGGCAACGCACGACAGAGAGAAACTGTTCAAGGAAATGCTCGCAATCTGCTTTACATTCTTAACAGAAGACAAACATCAAGATGAAAAAAGTATCGGATCAGAAAGAACATTGATATGCTTAGCAAAGGTAATGAAAGTTTTTACACTTGTTTTTTTGTGGTTTTAAGTAATGTACGGCTGCTATTTCAACTTATGTACCAACCCGCAGTCGTTTGTACTCGTTTTTATATTCGCCCGTGATAATCCGGGAGCAAAGAGATCTCGGCGGTTCGCCGGCGCGGTCGGCTGCGAATGCACCGCTGCGGCGCGCGAGCGAGAGCGGCCCGCGCGCCCAGCGTCGTTTCCTTCCTTCCGCGCGCGGTGGAGCCGGTCGGCGGCGGCG